ATATATATATATATATATATATATTGATATGCCTCTACTAATAACTGATTTTGAAGACACAAAATCCAAAATCCAGTTGCCATCGCCTTAAGAAACGCTGAAGAGGGTTCTCGAGTCTCGATATTTCAAGTTACTGCCACCACCACTTCACTTGCGACGCTGACACACTCGTGGACTAAACACGTCTTAGTGTCTCACTAAGATCCCTGCACTTGAAAATGTAAATACCGCAGATGTTTGTTCAACAATTCCTGTTAGTCTTTTCTTTTACAACGCACTTTTTTCTCTAAACGTTTCATTATCGTTCAGGATTTTGGTTTTCGTCGGACATTAAAGCACTGTGCGCATTTCGGCCATATAAATATTGACACTGAGGGCGTTCCTTGAAAGCACACACTTTCCTTCAATTTGTGTCAGCTGCATTTTAGACGAGCGTACATGTGTTCGGACCAAATTCATGGAAAGAAATTTGCTGTATTCGTTAGAAATACAAGTTCGTGAACGATATATTGATGCTGCTTGACTCACCTTCACTGCACTGTGTTATAGCTAACAATTATGCTTGATTTGTTTTCTCTACTTTTGGCACCGCTGTGGGGTATAATTATAAGCGCACTGCTGTTGCTGACGATGAAGTGTCGAAGAAACTCGTGCAAGGCTCCCATCTCTATCATGCAGGTAGCAGGAATAGCCTTCTGTGTTCAGAAGGTTTTCATTTTTTTTTTGTAGTAATGCGTGAGGTCTTCACAAATGTGTCGGTCTGCACTTGAAGCCAAAGGTGCTACGTGTATATAATGGGGCGCTGTCACCACGGCTGATGCTGCTGAGCAAAAAAAGAAAAGAGAAAAGAGATGGCCGCCTAAATGACATCAGGTGCTCCCCCCCCCCTCTTCAAGGTAAAAAAGGAAGAAAAAAAATCGATGAATGAACGTAATGCCGAAGCAAGGAAAGGTGGTATTAGGCGTTTTCTTCTGGGAACAATGAGAGGACGCACTGCCAAAGGGGTGTGGCAAGCGAGAATGAGCTTGTTGAAATGTTTCACCACACTCTGCCCATGAGACGGCGGTGAGAAGTAATTGCGCGGCCGTTTCAGTTCACTTTTGTTTACTTTTTGTGGTAAGCTTGGGGAGGCATGCCAGCCGTTGCGCTGCACTTGCTCCGGCACGCAGCATTGCTTCGATGGCACTCAGTTAGTGTACGGCCGGTTTGGCCTTGACCGTAAACACCGTTCGGCCGCACGGCGCCCCACGAAGTGCTGAGGCGCCTGAGATTACCCAGCGCGTCTACTTTTTGTTAACCCAGGACAAAGAAACGGACCCCGACGTGGGCCACGAAGGGGTAGGAATGGAAACGTCATTGTGACGACCCCTTGATTGCCTCACGGCACTTTCGGCCTGCGCATGAATGGGCATCTTGCGTGACCCAGCGCGACCCTTCGCATCGTTTCGGCTTACGGCCCAACCATTTGCTGTTCGCGCACCTACAAGTTGCCGACGAGAAAAGGCGGCGTCGGCTGCGGCACCGTGGGATTGCCGGTGACTTGCCGTCACTATCCGGCGTGCTTCAGGTAGCTCTCGGAACTTGCGACGTACGAAAGCTTCGCCCACGTCACGGTATTTAACAGGCGCCCAGTCGGCACCTTTGTTAAATGCTGTCGAACTGGCATGCCTTTGGCTCTTTCCGCGCTACTCTTTTCAAGCTGTTTCAAGGAAACCACCGCCGTGGAAGTTATCAGAACCAGCTCGTAAGTAAAACTGCGTGCGGAGAGCGAGTGGTGTCCGTTACAGCGCACAGGGTACAGTCGTATTACTGTCCCGTCGGGAAGAAGTTGACAAGTTACCAGGGATGTTTTCCTTATGGGCGCAAATTCCAGAACGCGTAGTTTTAGGTTTAGATAGTTGCGCGCCTGTTGAGCTTGCCCTTGTCTCTATGACTTGTCTAGTTTTGTTTTATTTGTAGTATTTGGGGCGAGGGCATGAGCCCTTGCACGTGCTCGAAAGTGGCGTCCCTGTGGCAGGTTTTTTTTATTTGCCAAGTGTACAGTCCTATCACAGGACAAAACAGGCAACGTGTCGCCGAGACAGTCGCGTAAAGGCGGAACATCGAAGGAATAAGAAGCGGCCCGTGTTCCGCCAAGTGTTCTGAACCGGCATTCAGATGTTAGGCACCGTCGGCTCTGCCGAATCCTGTATTGTCGGCCTACAAAGGGTTCATTTCCGAAGTGCTTTCTTTTTGTAACAATTATGTGCATAACTATGTATCTTCTGTAGATTCTGTAAATATAAGTTTTCTCGGCTTTACTGGAACTTACTCTACAAGCGACCAGCGACTCAGTCTCCACTGTTCGCATAGCGATAGTAAGCTACTTCCTCCTACTTTGCTATACCACCTCGGGTGGTGCGTCTCAGGCGCGCCCAGTGGGGAGGGCTTTCTTCACAGCATCAAAGGAGCTTGGATTTTACTCTGCCTCAAGAAAGTAAATTCCTGTTGTGTTTTACTGTCCGAAGTCCTGGAGAACCACATAGGCAAGTCTTCAGTATTATACAATGAACGCCGACTGCACAAAACTTTGGTACAAACTACGTATTTATACAAACGAGACAGGAGGGCAATCTTCACAACATCAAAACAGCTTGAATTTTACTCTGCCTCAAGAAAGTAAATTCCTGTTGATATTTACTATCAGAAGTCCTGAAGAACCACTTAGGCTAGTATTCAGTATTATTCAATGAACACCGCCTGCACAGAACTTTGATACAAACTACGCATTTATACAAGCGAGGGAAATGAATAAGGTACCATTTTTTTCTGCTGTAAGTTTTAGAATATGTTATTTTCTGTCCCAAGAGTCAACAAAGAGTTAGCACTTTTTTCTAAGCTATTTCTTATGATGATTTTGTGGAGTTGTCGCCAAGCGATAATCAAGCGTATGGCAGTGACTCGCCTATATAATCTGCTCTTTATAGGGTGAGTGCCAGTTGGACGTGTTGGTATAAGTTCATGACAAAATGACCGCCAAACAAGCGCCAGAAAGTTTCAGTAGCTAGCGAGCTCTCCGTCTAGTGTTGTGCTCTCCTCGCCTACCAGTACTACCTGAAAAGTGCCACGTGATTGCAAGACTGCATCCTGGGGCGACTGAACGCGCGGAGATTCTTCGCGTTTCCGGAGCCATTATCTTACCAGGACGCAGGGGTGGAAGCGGCGACGTCGAGAAGAGCCTTTCCCCCCTGCTGCTTCCGTTCGGCCGTTCACCTAATCAGCTCTTTTTTTTTTTGCCTGCCCAGGTTGGTATCCTGCGTATGGAGGGGTGGTGCATCATGCATGGTTCCTGTCTTGATACAATAGGCGCGCCAACCCTTTCAAACCTTTCAAAGCGGCACTCTTTTTCAACGTTGCGTTTCTCGCCACAGGTCAGACTAACTAAAAACCGCTGCCGGGGCCGTAGAAGCGCATACTGACGTTACTGACCGCGCGGAAAAGAAGCCGTGTGGCCACATCGATATCGTAACGACCCACAGAGGTGGCAACGTTGGAGCGTAAAGGCTGTCCATCCAATCTGCTCTCTCTTGCCTACCAAGGTCGGTAAACTTGGATGTTTTCCTAATATCACTTTCTTAACTGCCCCCGCTAAACGTGTTGCAGTGCTTCGCGAAGGGCTGTACATTAAATGTTTTAGCAAAATCAGTGCTTCAAAATGCAGTGCGAACTTACTGCTATCCTGATTTTCTGGGTCTTCGGCGGCAAATAGTTAATATTAACAAGCTACCGAGAGCTAGTTACTATTTTCAGCTACTTTTAACACTGTCTCTTTTTTTAGACAATAACTGTGGCGGAACATGCTGTTACACTTATTTCCATTAAAAAAAACTTCCAACAGTGGCACTCCTTGAAGGTCGAAGGTGAACACTTTCCTTTTTTTTAACTCCTTTCTTTACCATATCCTCTCCGCCTTTCAATTTTCCACAATACAGCCTCTCTCCACCTCCTATAAGAGAGGAAGTCGCTAACAGGACTGTTTTCGTTCCAGAAGACGCACGTTGCAGGTTAGTCGTTAACGGAACTTCAAGTTTACTTGTAGAAAACGTTAATCCGTCGGCATACAGCTGAACAGTTTGCCAAGTTCTCGTCAGTATTTTTTTACCTATATATCCTTTTTTTTCTTGAGCTGATAGCTCTATTCTTGGGGTGCTAGTGGCTCATCAGGGCACGAAGTATACGATCGACGTCAACGAGACGAGATACCTGTATCGAATATAGGAGCACATATGTAATATTTATAAAATTAGATAACCAACACCGCAACCATATTTGACATTTTGCCGACACTGCGCCTGCATAGGGTGTTTTTCTGAAGCAGTTTGGAGACCTCGCATGGCTTTGAGGTAGAATACAGGATTGAAACGCAGAATAGTGGGATTCAGTTCATGCTGGGCTGTCATTTTATAATTTGAATTATGCGGGTCGAAGCTGCTCTGGTCAATTTCTCCGAATACTATTGCATCTAAATCATCCATTTTTGTTCTCGCCGCCCCTCAGCGGTCGTCTAGTGACTAAGGTACTCGGCTGCTGACCCGCAGGTCGCGGGATTGAATCCCGGCTGTGGTGGCTGCATTTCCAATGGAGGCGAAAATGCTGTAGGCTCGTGTGAGAATATTTGGGTGCACGTTAAAGAAGTCCAGGTGATTGAAATTTCCGAAGCCCTCCACTATGACATCTCTCATAATCATATGGTGGCTTTGGGATGTTGAACCTCACAAACTAATCAATCATTCATTTGTTTACGCAGTTCCTGAAGTAGATATTAACTGTCAGTACTTTGTGACGCATACCCACCCACCACGGCTCGTGCTATATGACTATGTGCCACGCGTGTATGGAGGCAATGGTTTGACGACGTACGCAATGGCATTTTTACTTTATGTCGTGACAAGAGCGTCACATTTATCTTGGCAGCGGTGCGCAAGCAATAGGCATCAGACTAATTCTTCTGCTTCTTGCAGTGGTGGCCGATTATTCAAGGACCGGCAGACAAGATTTGACAGATTCGCCACGAACTGCGACACATGTTCGGTGCCTGATACCTGCTGATGATCTACCACGTGGTGCTGCATCACAAGGGCCGATTAGGAAGACGTCACCGGCTTCAACTGTTATAAAAGGCTACCAGCTCCGCGGCCTCACAGAGTTTGGCAGTGGTGCGCAAGCAATAGGCATCAGACTAATTCTTTTGCTTCTTGCAGGTGAGCTATACCTCTAGTTTTCCCTGCGTATGTTATTACAGCCAACACGTTTGTTTACCTCAGACACTAATTTTGAGACATGCATGTTCCAAAAAAGGTTCTGGTGGAGCCAGACACTGATAAATTGTATGAACTCATGTATTTTTACGTGTCCTAACTGGATGTTGACCTTAAAAAAATGTGCATTAATAATCGGTCTAAATATATTAGAGCTGGTTATCGATAAATTTAAAGAAAACATGATAAATTTTAGCCATGATTACAGGTTACCTAAATACTCGTTTACCATAGCATCTGCTTGTAGAAGAGATTTTGTTGTGAAAAATATATTTGTATCATCAGCATGCATGATCATGTCATGAGAACCTGGTAGTTTGGTTGTATCATTGATATGTATTAGAAACAATAGTGGTCCTTGTATTGAGCCTTGAGGTACTCCGCAAGTGACAGTTAGTTGGTTAGATGTAATGTCGTTCACCCGTACGTACTGCATTCTATGACTGATCTTGCACTAAGTTGAGTGTATTACCAGACATGCCGTAGTAATTTAAGTTCTGCGAGAAGATTTTGTGTTGTACGCAGTCAAATGCCTTTCGAAAATCTAAGAACAGACCAAAGGTGTAAAGCTTGTGTTTTATGTTTTCAATTATTTTATCTTTAACAACAAGGAGCGCTTGCTCTGTGGACTTTTTTTTCAGAAAACCGTACGCGCAAACAGATATTATGTTGTGTTTGGTTGAAAAAAACTCAAGCCTGCAATTTATGTATACTTCAAATAATTTCGGAAATACTAGCAACACAGAAATTGGTCTGTAGTTTGACATGTCCATTCTGTTACCACCTTTGTATATTAGACAGACTTTGTCAATTTTTAGGGCATTAGGAAACACACCTGTAGTAAACGTTAGGTTAACAAGGTAAGCCAATACGTTAGAAATGAAAAGCACAACGAACTTAATGGGAACTGATCTTCAATCGTCGTGATCTGGTGATACATCATTTTTTAACCTGTTAATGAAAGTCACTATTTCCTGAGGGGATGTGGGTGACAAAAACAAAGACTTTGATGAAGAACTAGTGACGTGGTTGAATGCGTTGTCAAAGCGAATCGCCGAGTCGTTTACCAACGTTGACAAAGTACTAGTTGACAGCAAAGGCTAAGTCGAAATCGGACAACATTCTTCAGCACTAATCTTATTCAGCACATTACTATCTTTCTTGTTAGATTAGTTACTTCTCTCCATACTTTCCTACTGTCGCTTTTCATTCTCGTGAATCGCTCGATAAAATAATTTGTTTTTGCTGTATTTATTTTTTTATTCAGTTGATTTCGGTATTTTTCATACTCTTTTAAAGAACTGGGTTCCCGGTTCCGTATAAAAGAATGGTACATCTTGTTCTTAGTGCGAATTTTTTTGAGAAAGTCTTTATTTATCCAAGGCTTTCTAATCTTTGTCTGTTTAATCTTCTGTTGATTAGCGGGAAAGCATTGTTACAGGCGTCTGAGCACTTAGAAATAAATTTTGAGCACGCCAAATTTACGTCACCGATATTGCATATGCTATTCTAACTTATATTCTGAACAAGAAATTGAAATTTGTTTAAATTATCTTCATTTATTTCTCGCGTTAGGTAACTATCAACTGTAACATTATGTTCTCGCACTCTTTTGATTAAGCAAAAAATAATTCACATTGTGATAAAGCAAAACCAAATCCTCATTATATATTACTTGGGTGAATGCTTGTAACATAGACATCTAAAAGAGTGGCGGTGTGAACAGTAATTCTAGTTTTTAAAGTAATGAGATTGTAACATGCTAAAGATGAAATAACACTGCAAAAATCGTGAGTGCTCGGATTGTGATGCAATAGATTTATGCTAACGTCCCGCAAGAGCACAAATGTAACAATGGTAGTATTTTTTTTCAAGCAATGTTTCAAGAAAATTCAGAAACTGTCACTTATTTCAAGTCGTGGTCTATAAATTACCGCTACAATCGCATCAGACAGTGATATAGTCAAACATTCAACACTGTGAGTCACTATTAAGCAGTCCTCGAGTACAGAGTGCAAGTAGCGGCATTTGACATAAGCAGCAAGGCCTCCACCTCTTCCGCTAGGACGGAGGAAACCGTTATATGCGTAGTTATTGAAATGAAGGTGGTCGTTATGTGTGAGAAGCCAAGTCTCAGAAAACGCCAATATATCAAATTCTGTTGTTACTGACGTAAAAAATTATCGAGTTGATCGCGTTTGTTTTTCATGCTTCTTACATTCAAGTGGATAAGAAATAGTTCCTGGTGGTGGTTTCGGAATTAATCGTTGAAAGACTCACGGTTGTGCAGAAAACAGGTCGGTATTTCGACCATTTCCATGATTGTTTGAGCCAAAAATGATGCAGATATTGTGATATTTTGCACAAATCCCCCCATAGGCAAATTTGATGGTATTCAATGATTCATTCCTTCTGTCAAAAATCCTCCCTCCGCTCGTCCATAGGAAATTCCAAAACAATTCTTTCTTGCGGGCGATTGTGGCTCCCAGTAGTTGCTTATTAGCACGAGTTAAATGCTCGTTAACGTAGACGTGATCAGATCCAGGAAATCCTAGCATCACATTTGCGATACGATATTTCCTAGCTTTCGCATGAACCACCTGCAGCTTATCGCGTCGCACGAAGCGAATGATACTGTCGCTCTCGCCCGTGACTCGTGTTGGTATTTTGTGGCATGTGTCAATATTGTTACAAGTAACTTCTTTAATAATCTATTTACAACGCACAGAACTCGACGAGGAAGATGACGTCAGTCCAGCATCAAACAAATACTCACTTCGTCCTCCTCTTTCATGCAGCCGCGTTGAGCGGCTGTTATGTACCGTAACCCCCGGCGATAGAAGCACCATCTCGGTGCTAAATCAACGCGGATGATGTCGAAGGGGGGTAACAGGGCTTTAGCCGAGCCACGTGAACGGTGTCGCTTGGAGCTGACGATGACATTGTATGATCTGTTGGGACAACCTCGTACGGGACATCTGTCCCTTGGCGAATGATGTGAAATGGCCCAGTGTTGGGCGACAACAATTTCTCAGACAGTCCCACACGACGAGTGGGTGACCAGAGGAGCACGAGAAAACTCGGGGAAAAGTGCAGTCCCTATGGTGAGAATCGTAGAGCTGTTGTTGGCGCACCTGTGAAGCCTGTAGACGGTTACGGGCGACTTGGCGCGCGTGGTCAGCACGGGCGATGGCTTCCCCGGCATATTCAGCGGCCGCAGATTTCAAAGTGTCTAAGGGTAGAGGTGGGTCCCGGTCATATAGGAGATAGAAGGGCGAATATCCGGCAGTGTTTTGACGACATGAATTGCAGGCGAACGTCACATACGGCAAATGAATGTCCCAGTCCTGGTGGTCTGGCACAACGTATTTGGCAAGCATATCGGTTAGGGTCCTGTTGAGGCACTCCGTGAGGCCATTTGACTAGAGATGGCAAGAAGTAGTAAATCTGTGCTTGGTATGGCAAGACCTCAGGATTTCGTGAACGACACCTGATAAGAACGTGCGGCCACGGTCGGTGAGACGTTGACGGGGAGCACCGTGCACTAATATTATGTCGTACAGTAGAAAGTCCGCAACGTCGGTAGCGCAACTGGTCGCGTGTGCTCGAGTGATTGCGTACCGCGTCGCGTAGTCTGTGGCAACAGCGATCTGTTTATTTCAGGCTGTGGAGAGTGGAAAAGTGCCCAATAGATCAAGCCCAACTCGAAAGAAAGGTTCAGTGGGAACGCCGATCGGCTGAAACTAGCCGGCTGGGAGGGCAGACGGCGTTGTGCGACGCTGGAAGGGCTCACAAGCCGCGACATAGCATCGAACAAAGCGGGAAGTTCAGGCCAAAAAGCCAACGTCTAACCCGATCGTATGTGCGAGAAACGCCCAAATGGCCCGTCATGGGAGCGTCATGAATTTGGTGCAGTATAGTGGAACGCAGGTGTGCTGGGATGACAGGAAGTAAGTCGGATCCAAAGGACTCAAGGTTACGGCGATATAGGATCCCATCTTTCCCCTAAAACAATCGTAAGGACAGGTTACGAGGCGTTCACTCCAGTTTGTCAATGATGGCTCGTAAAAAGCATCCCGACGTTGCTCTTCGCCAATGTTCAGCAGCTGCGACACTGAAAAAACGTCCGCGATAGCGTCAGTATCGGTTGCTTCATCCACAGGGTAGCGGGATAAACAGTTCACACGCTGATGTAATCGCCCTGTTTTATGCATAACAGAGAAAGTGTATTCTCTGAGGTGTAGGGCCCAACGAATGAAACGTCCTGTGGGGTCCTTCAGGGAGCCTAGCCAGCAGAGCGCGCGATGATCCGTGACAACACGGAATGAGCGTCCATACAGGTATGAACGAAACTTGGCGACTGCCCGTACAAGGGCGAGGTACTCGCTCTCCATAATAGAATAGTTGCGCTCAAATGGAGATAGCAGTTGACTGGCGCAGGCTATAACATGGTCATATCCCCGTTGACGCTGCGATATCACAGCTCCTATGCCATGTCCACTGGAATCCGTGTGAACCTCGGTTGGGGCTGAATGATCAAAGTGACCCAAGATAGATGGCGTTGTAAGCAGAGTTGTAAGTTGGGAAAACGATGACGCTTGGTAATGGCCCCAGATAAACAAGGCGTCTTTCTTCAAGAGGTCTGTGAGGGGGCGTGCAATTGTCGCAAAGTTCTTAACAAAGCGTCTGAAATATGAGCACAACCCCACAAAACTGCGGACATCCTTTGTGGTCCTCTGAACGGGAAAGTTTGTGACTGCGCGAACTTTCTCTGGGTCTGGACGCACGCCTTGGGCATCGACAAGATGACTGATCACGGAAATTTGACGACGAGCGAAGTGGCACTTGGAGGCGTTAAGCTGGAGTCCAGCTCGACGGAAAACTTTCAGAATAGCTGACAAACGATCGAGATGCGAGTCGAATGTGGGCGAAAAGACAATAAC